CTGCTGCTGCTGCTGCTGCTGCTGCTGCTGCTGCTGCTTAGGGGGGGCGAAGGCGCGGGGAAAACCACAGTGAGCGAAATGAGTTTGGGGGAATTCATTTTGGAGTATCGGCAAAGAGCAAAAGTGAAGTCCGACGAACTCGCCTGGACCCTTTGTGCTGCTGTTTGCGACGAAGACCTCGCCAGCCGCCTGCTGCTCGCGGTCCGCTGCTGCTGCTGCTGCTGCTGCTGCTGCTGCTGCTGCTGCTGCTGCTGCTGCTGCTGCTGCTGCTGCTGCTGTTGGCGCTGTTGGTGGTGCTGCTGCTGTTGGTGCTGGGGCTGCTGCTGTTGGTGCTGGGGCTGCTGCGGAGAGGCTCTGCTGCTGCGGACAGAAACTGCTGCCGCCGCTGCTGCTGCTGCTGCTGCTGCTGCTGCTAGGAAGCCCTGCTGCTGCAGCGAAAGCCTGCTGCTGCAGCGAGAAAAGCTGATGCAGAACTCCTGCAGCAGCAGCAGTGCTGCAGCAGCAATGCACTTTCGTTATGCAGGCTGTAGTGCTGTGCGTGTAGTCAGCCCAAAAGAAGCCAGCAGCTAAAAACCCTAAACCCTAAACCCTAAACCCTAAACCCTTTCTAGGGTTTCACACATTTCCCTCAGTTAAAGCCCTACCCACTCCACACCACACAAATCGTCTCCCTTTACCCCCCCATCCATCGCCGCCGCTGCTGCTGCTGCTGCTGCTGCTGCCGCTGCTGCTGCTGCTGCTGCTGCTGCTGCTGCTGCTGCTGCAGCTGCTGCAGAGCATGAAGAAGGCGGTGGAGAGGCACTCGGGCAGCGCGACTTTTCGCAGAGTCGAATTTTTGGCTTCTTTGGGGGCTTTTGTGGAACACAGAGTTTGGCTGCAGGTGGAGTTTCACTGGGGGGGCAAGAGTTTGCTGCTGCAGCAGCAGCAGCAGCAGCAGCAGCACGCGCACCACCCGCAGCAGCACCTGCAGCAGCAGCAACGCAGCCTCTTCTTCACCCTCGCAGACCACTTCACTTGGGCTGCTTGAATTCATTTTTATTTATTTTTATTTTCATTTCTTTTTTTTATTTTTATTTTCAACTTTTCAAGTTTCAGCTCCCCGCACTTCGGCTTCGGGTGTACGTACACTGCAGACTGTGGGCAAAAACCAGCAAAGAAAGCTACCGCTGCTGCTGCTGCTACTGCTACTGCTGCTGCTCCGCTACTGCTGCTGCTGCTGCTGCTGCTGCTGCTGCTGTTTGGGAGGTGTTTTGCAGCGGCTGCAGCAGGTGAGAGTCCGTGGCGAGCTGAAGAAGCAGCAGCCTGCGAGTCTTTAGAAAAGCTGCTGCAGCCGTCGCGCTGCTGCCGCGCATGCAAAGTGCATGCGCGTGTGCATGCAGCGCATGCATGCAGCGCATGCATGCAGCGCATGCATGCGGCGCGTGCATACAGCGCATGCATGCAGCGCATGCATGCAGCGCATGCATGCAGCGCATGCATGCGGCGCGTGCATGCATGCAGCGCGCGCATGCGTGGGGCTGCGCATGCAGCGCATGCAGCGCATGCAGGCGCGCGGCAGCGCATGCAGCGCGCGCATGCATGCGGCTGCGCATGCAAAGTCTGCGCAGCCACGGGAGGCGCTCGCAGCCAACGGGCAGCAGCAGCCGCTGCAGCGCAGCGCAGCAGCAGCCGCTGCAGCGCAGCAGCAGCCGCTGCAGCGCAGCAGCAGCCGCTGCAGCGCAGCAGCAGCCGCCGCAGCGCAGCAGCAGCCGCTGCAGCGCAGCGCAGCAGCTGCAGCGCAGCAGCTGCAGCGCAGCAGCAGCCACTGCAGCGCAGCAGCAGCCACTGCAGCGCAGCAGCAGCTGCTGCAGCGCAGCAGCAGCCGCAGCCGCTGCAGCGCAGCACAGCAGCAGCCGCTGCAGCGCAGCAGCAGCAGCTGCGTGCTGCCGAATTCAAAATGTCAGTTGGCCTTGGCCTGCATGAGCTCCGTCTGGTCGGCGGCCTTGGCCGAGCGCGCGGCCAGCGGCGCCGGCGAAGGCGTGCTGCGGTAAAAGCGCGAAATGTAAACGAAAAACAAAACCACGAGAATAAAAATGGAAAAGTTGATCAAAAAGTTGCGCAAATAAACGTAGCTTTCGCCGTGGGCGGGGGGCCGCGCGTCCGCCGTTTCTTCTGCAGCGCACAAACAAGCCCAACTTGAACGGGCCCGATCTTCCGCTTTCCGGGGCGATCTTGGAAAAAAAAAATATATTTTGCTGCGCAAAATTGCTGCTGCTGCTCGCAAGTCGAATATGGAAGCCAAACTCGAACAAAACTTACGGACGTCTTGCATTCCGCTGCCCGCGCGGAGCTGGCCGAGCCCCTCGTCGAGGCCGCGAACCTGCGACGCACACTGCGGGAAAACTCCGCGAAATTCGGATTTTCTTCTCCACTTAACTTTCAAAACGAACTTTTAATTCAACTGAAGTGAAGCGACTTCTTGGAAGGGCCGGATCGGCCGGGTTTCCGGATCTGTGCAAGTTGCGGCGTTCAGGTGTATAGGCAGCTCCGCGCCGCGCGCGCGAACCTGCAAAATGTGGTTCATCACAACTGCTGTTCTAGCTCCGGCAACCAGGATGCGTTTTTTGATGATTTCGAAGAAGAGAAACTCCGAAGTTCTGTCCAGCACATACACATTTGGCTCGTTCTTCTTCTTCGTCATGCGACTCAGCAGCGGGTAGATCTGCGCAGCAGCAGCAGCAGCAACGCAGCAGCAGCAGCTGCCCGCAGCTCTTCTGCTGCGAACCGGAAGCCCCCGGCGACGCGAACTGCAGCACTGCAGCAGCAACTGCGAAAATCATCAACTCGGGACTTTTAAATTCTGAAAAATAAAAAAAAAATAAATCTTTTCAACTCCCCACTTCTGCGCAAAGCAGAGCTCGGTTCTCCCGCGCCCAAGACAAAAAATAAGTTTCTTTCCGCGCAGCAAATACTGTCTTCTCTTCTTCGTAAAAGGACTTCACCGAATTCACGTGCGTCCAACCTGCGCGCCCACGCGCAGCAGCAGCAGCAGCAGCAGCAGCAACAGCAGCAGCAGCAGCAACAGCAGCAGCAGCAGCAGGAGCGGCAGCACGCGGAGCTCTCAGTAACTGAGCACAGCTCTGCTGCTTCCCCCAGGCGGCCCCTAGGCGCCGCGCGCCCCGCCCTAGCCAGCCCCCTTAGGGTTTAGGGTTTAGGGTTTAGGGTTTAGGGTTTGGCGGCGCACCCGAGTACCAGAAGGTCTGCCTCTCGCCCATAATCTTCTTCACGAAAGCGCCTTCTATGAACTCGTACAAATTGCTGCGCCGCTTTTCCCGCGAGCCGTCTCCTGCTTCGTATTCCACTGAGACACACACACAAACACCCTGCTGCTGCTGCTGCTGCTGCTGCTGCTGCTGCTGCTGCTGAGGCTGCTGCTGCTGCTGCAGCAGCAGCGACGGAAGCCCGCCGACTGGAGGCGTCAGCAGCAGTGCACGCCCGCGAACGACACTTGCTGCTGCTGCATGCATGCATGCATGCATGCACGCATGCATGCTGCTGCTGCATGCATGCATGCATGCATGCATGCATGCATGCATGCGGCGGGGTGTATGTACACCGCACCGAAAATGGTCCTGCCGAAATCGTCTTCCGAAGAGCCCCAGTGGAGGGGCTGGTGCATATCTCCAATGAGATTAATTACATATTTCACCTGAGCAGCAAAATAAAATAAAATGCTGCTGCTGCTGCTGCTGCTGCTGCTGCTGCTGCTGCTGCTGCTGCTGCTGCTGCTGCGTGTTCAGCCGTGAACGCCTCATCTGCTGCTGCTGCTGCTTCCTGCTTTTGCGCGCTGGACGCAGCTGCAGCAGCGCGTGTGCTGCAGCAGCACTTGTGCTGCAGCAGCAGCAGCTGCAACTCGGCAATTAACTCAACTTGAACTTTTGAATTTAATTTCACTTTTAATTTAATTTTAAATTTAATTTAATTTTAAATTTAATTTAATCTTAAATTTAATTTTAATTTTAATTCGACTCACTGCGTCTGCGTCTGTCGTTTCGATGCCGTGGGGAAAAACAAACTTGTCCGTGCGTATCACAGGATCAGCTGCAGCAGCAACAGCAGCAGCAGCAGCAGCGGGTCAGCCAGCAGCTGCAACAACAGCAGCAGCAGCAGCAGCAGCCGCAGCAGCAAGAGCAGCAGCAGCCGCAGCAGCAAGAGCAGCAGCGCCGCCGCTCCGGCAGCCCGCAGCTTGGAGTGTATGTACAGCTGCTCAGCGCTCGCCCCCAGGCCTCGGCGCAGACAAACCCCCCAGCAGCAGCAGCAGCAGCAGCAGCAGCAGCAGCAGCAGCAGCAGCAGCAGCAGCAGCAGCAGCAGCAGAGCCAGAGCAGCAGCAGCAGCAGCAGCAGCAGCAGCAGCAGCAGCAGCAGCAGCAGCAGCAGCAGCAGCAGCAGAGCAGCAGCAGCAGCAGCAGCAGCAGCAGCAGCAGCAGCAGCAGCAGCAGCAGCAGCAGCAGCAGCAGCAGCAGCATCCGCAGCAGCAGCAGCAGCAGCAGCATTCGCAGCAGCAGCAGCAGCAGCAGACCTGGGTCCCTGGGTTCCTGGTTTTTCTCCGGGGCCGTGAGTCTGTAGAAGAAGTAGGTGAGGGCCTCCAGCAGGCAGCCATCTGCTGCTGCGCTGCTGCTGCTGCAGAGGCTGCGCTGAATCTCCGTATTTGCTGCTGTCGGCGGCGGCGAAGGACAAGTTTGCTGCCGCTGGAAGTGCAGCGGCGCAGTCAGCGGGTACTTCTCTGTCACGCGGTGCGCCCAGCCTGCAGCAGCAGCAGCAGCAGCAGCAGCAGCAGCAGGTAGGTAGAAGCAGCAGCAGGTGGAGCAGCAGCAGGTGGAGCAGCAGCAGGTGGCAGCAGCAGGTGAAGCGGCAGCAGCAGCGGGTAGAGCAGCAGCAGCAGCGGGTAGAGCAGCAGCAGCAGCGGTTAGAGCAGCAGCAGCAGCACGTCAACTGGCAGCAGCAGCAGCTAGAGCTGCAGCAACAGCAGGTGCAGCAGCAGCAGCAGCGGGTGAAGCAGCAGCAACAGGAGATAAAGCCGCAGCACACGCTCCGAGGCTGAAGGAGCAGCAACAGCAGCAGCAGCAAAAACAGCAAGTACACAGACAGCAGCAGCAGCAGAAGCTGCAGCAGATATCATAAAGGCAGAAGCAGCAGCAGCAGCAGCAGCAGCAGCAGCAGCAACTCCCACCGGACACATCTGCTACGTCCTTCCCGTTGAGCAACCGGCGGAGCGCTTGGTTCGCTTGCATTGTCAGACCTGCGGGGCACTCAAACCCTAAACCCTAAACCCTAAACCCTAAACCCTAAACCCTAAACCCTAAACCCTAAACCCTAAACCCGCCAAGGTAGCAAAGTGGGTGGGGCTCGAAGGGGAAAGTTTAAAAAAGAAAAACGAAAAAGGAGGACAAGACACGAGCATTCGGGTGTACGTACACCCGGCGGGCCTGCTGCTGCAGCACGCCGCCGGGATTGCTGCTGCTGCTGCTGCTGCTGCTGCTGCTGCTGCTGCACTGCAGCAGGACACGCGTGGGGTGAACGCACACTACCTGATAGGGCTGTCATTGAGATGGCTTCGTGTGCGGGGGCCTCAAAGGCCGCGGCGTTTTGCTGCTGCTGCTGCAGCAGCAGCAGCAGCAGCACCAGAGCGGCGCTGCTGCTGCTGCGCGCGCGAGAGGCAGCAGCCATCTTCTTCTGTGCAAATGGCGGAGCGAAGGAAGCAGCAGCAGCAGCAGCAGCAGCAGCAGCAGCAGCTTCTTCGGTTGTTGCTGCTTCTCGAGGCCTCTTTGCTGCTTCTGCTGCAGCTATTTCGCGAGTTGCTGCAGCCGCAGTCCCTGCTGCAGCGGCTAAATCAAGTGTGTCTTTGACTCGCCGCCGCTGCTGCTGCTGCTGCTGCTGCTGCTGCTGCTGCGGAAGCTGCTGCAGCTGCAGTGCCCTCGCCCGCCTTCGACACGAAAAAAAAGACAAAGCAGCTGACAGCAGGTGTACATACACCCAAATTTCATACACCCGAATTCAGGAAATCCACGCCGCGAACCGAGGCTGCTGCTGCTGCTGCTGCTGCTGCTGCTGCTGCTGCACGCCCCCGCGAACGACTGCAGTCGTTGAAGGCCAGAAACCAAACCCTAAACCCTAAACCCTAAACCCTAAAGGCTCAGTCAACAGTACTTCCATTTTCAAAATGAAACTGCTGCAGTGCTGCGACACTTTCTGTCCCGTCTTGCTGCTGTTTCGTTGGAGCAGCAGCAGCAAGAGCAGCAGCCAGCCCTCTGCGGAGCAGCAGCTGCAGTCGTTCCCACTGCAGCAGCAGCAGCAGCAGCAGCAGCAGTGGCTTCTGCAGCTACATAAATACTTTTGGCTTCTTCAGCAGTTAAGAGGAGTCTCACCTGCTGCCTCGGCAGTCCTTGCTGCCTCGAGTTGCTGCAGCTGCTGCAGCTGCTGCAGCAGCAGCGCCTGTGCTGCAGCAGCAGCAGCCGAGTCCCGCTTTTTCGCTCCACTTGCTACACAAGCCGAAGCAGCAGCAGCAGCGTCTTTGCTGCTGCTGCAGCAGCTAACAGCAGCCCTGCAGCGCCAAAATCGGAAGCAAAGAGGCCTCGCTCGATCCAGCGGGCCGCAGCAGATGGTGCTGTTTGCTGCTGCAGCAGCTGCAGCAGCTTCTGCTGCCAAACAAGCAGCACTTCTCTAGACAGCAGCAAGACAAATATCCCCCAAAGACATCACCACCGTCTTAGCGCGAGCAGCAGCAGCAGCAGCAGCAGCAGCAGCAGCAGCACTTGCTGCGGCGGCAGCAGCAGCGGCAGCCCCAGGAGCAGGGCAGCCCTTTCTGCGTTCAAAGCAGCAGCAGCAGCAGCAGGAGTTTAGGCAGCAGCAAAAGCAGCAGCAGGAGGTGGCTGCATCTGCGGCGAGAATGGCGCCCCTGCTGCTGCGCTCCCAGCCGCTGCTGCTGCTGCTGCTGCTGCTGCAGTGCTGCTGGCCGCTTTGGGCCACCCAGAACAGCACCAGCACCGACAGCAGCAGCAGCAGCAGCAGCAGCAGCAGCAGTTCTTCGGGGGCGGGCGGCCTCGAAGAGCTGTGGGCGAGGCGGCCGGAGACACAGGAGGAGAACGAGAGCTTCCAAACCACAGCAGCAGCAGCAGCAGCAGCAGCAGCAGCAGCAGCAGCAGCAAGAGAGGCGGAAGCAGAAGTGCTGTCGTTCGAGGAGCCCGGCGGCGTGGGCACGCTGGACGTGGACGCAGCAGCAGCAGCAGCAGCAGCAGCAGCAGGAGCAGCAGGAGCAGCAGCGTACCCGCCGTCGGCGCGGACGCAGCAGCAGCTGCTGCTGCTGCAGCAGCAGCAGCAGCAGCAGCACGACCAAGACATGCTGGACTTCAAAGAAGCCCTCAAAGCTCAACTCGGAAGAAGTGCCAAACAAGTTCATGGTTTGCGTCAAGACATAAACTGGTTGAAGTCTGCAGTCAAGGACTTGGACCTCACCACCGAAACCCTCAGTAAACCCTAAACCCTAAACCCTAAACCCTAAACCCTAAACCCTAGGCGCTGGCGCGAGCCGTTCCCGCGCGCCCGCCGGCTCCCGCCAAACCCTAAACCCTAAACCCTAGGCGCTGCGGCGCAGCTGCTGCTGCGGGCGCGCTGCGGGCCCCGGGCCCCGCTGAGGGTTTAGGGTTTAGGGTTTAGGGTTTAGGGTTTAGGGTTTGGCGCAGGCCAGCCGCACCCCTCGCAGCCGCTGCTCGACCTCCTCTCCGAGAAAACCTCCACATTGGAGGAAAGGGTTTTGAATTACATTTCGGGAAACTTTACGGAGTTTAAGGAGCAGCTGGAGGAGCTCACGGCCCTCAAGTTGCTGCCTTTCCACCAGGCAAACCCTAAACCCTAAACCCTAAACCCTAAACCCTAAACCCTAGGCCCTCGGCGGCGGCGGGGCCGCGGGGCGGCGCGCGGGCGCCGGCCCGCGGCA